TAGCAATCGACGACACTACTTATTTTCCGTTTTTTGCATGTTTCCTTTCGAGACCGCCAGAAGGTCACTTGTATGAGTCTGTAAAGAGTGAAAATGGCTGAGCATACTTAATAGGCCTTCAGCTTCTGCTATGATGTCCTGTTCACTTTTAGCTGGTGGCAGCACCACTCCATCTCGACCGAGTTTTGTCTCCGTGGCGACGAGCCCATCTTCCGCGGAGTCGGGTTGCTGTCTAGCGGATTCTCGGACGCCGGCAGACCATCTGTTGATTGAGTGGATGATCGGACCGGTGGTCAGGCGGATGATGACTCCTGCCAGACCCGTGTTTGCAAGCACTTGCGAATACTGACTTTGCGTGAATGCCAGACTCTGGCAGAACCGGCCGAGATGGGTGAAGACAATGCTGATGCCAAGACAGGCCAACAGCATGCCCAACAGATAGACGATGAGGCAATGGTTGACTCGGAACACGGTAAGTTGCGTCAGAACGCGGCGAAGACAGGCATAGCATCTGCTCCTAACGGCGGTTGGAAAGCGAGAAAAGTGGGAAAAAGTTAAACAGTTTGCATGGCAAGATTTGTGTTTTTGCCAATTCGCACGGCTTTTTGATAGAGAAATAGTCGGTGTTATCTCCCTCTTCTAGAGCATTATTCCGTAATCTGTTGAAGGTGGCATTAAAGTGAATTCCAGGTCCAACATGGCACAAAGGTGAAGACTAGACGCAACGTTGCACGACGGAGTGAATGTTGGGCAACTTTTGCAGGATTCCCAGTGCTTTTTTCAATCGTGCCCACTTTCATCATCAGTGTGGCACGCAATCTCCTTTAAGAGAGTAAATTCTCTTTTCATTAGATCTATTCACTCTATTTCGTGTAAGGTGATGAAGAAGTGGTAGTTTAAGTTTCCCACAATGATATGAGCAGCCCTGGATTTCACACAGACTTGCTTTCCCTAAACTTGATCTCATTCCGGCTCGAGTAGATTGCAGTTTCGACACCGCATCAACTGGTCTTGTCAACATCCCTGGCGGGAGTCGAACCTTGACATGGCAGCGTGTCATCTCGACACGTCAACCACTCTCCCACATTGTCACGAGTGCCCGTTGGGTCAAAGAGCAGATGTGAATTTCAAGGAAGACCAGGCCTTTTACCATATCACATTCTTTGGTGGAATTGTCGGACGAGAAAAGTTATATTTACTATGGCAATAACTATATTACTTATTTGTAGTTTATAAGTAGGCTTTCTCGATTACAAGTAAATCAGTCGTTTGAGATGTGTTTATCATATTTTCGTATTAGAGTAGAGTTTCGAGACTACCAATAAATCAGTAATACGAGAGGTATTCACCCTATTTCGTCTAAGCTGATGAAGGACTGGCAGTAGAATTTTCCCACAATGAGCTGACGTTTCCATTCAATTTCACGGTTCGAGTCCCGCTGGGGTTGTTGATAAGACCGAGGTGAAGTCGAAACTGCAGTCCACCTCAGCCGGGATGAGAACAACTTTTGTGTAAGCAAATCTATGTGAAATTCAATGAAAACTTCAGCTCAACTCATATCATTGTGGGAAAATTCTACTACCAGTCCTTC